AAAGCATAAAAAACCCTATTGGCTATCAGGAATAATTCATGCCCTTTCTTCTACAGGAGATGAAAAGAAGAACGTTAGGCTGAATGTTCACGCTGCTCATTTTTACACTTGATAAAAGTGTAAAGCCACTCTATTAATCTCTACAATGCTGAAAGAAGCGTAATACATGTAGTCAGAAGGGATTTGTGCTTTGAGGTCAGCTCATTTGTGTCACACACTTTGAATTGTACTGCAGCGTACGAATTTTACATTGATGAATAAAGGGGTCAACTTTTTCAGATTGTGTAACACTAGCTTCAGTCATTTATTTATTTTTAACTAAATCTAGTTTATTAATACAGCAAATTAAGGTTTCCAGGGATATTTAGTGACTCACAGTATCCTCTGATTTGCTCTTGCAGCTATTACTGTAGGTCAAACTATACAAAACTGCTGCTAATTAGACTTTTTTAGGCTTTATATCGATACAAACACATATTTTATGAGAAAACAGTCTTGTGAACACTTCTGATGTCTGTCGGTGCTCTAGAGTTGCTCAGTTTCAGACTGTTGAATGATTTTTTTTCTCGCATATAGGTGTGATTATGCATTCACAATGGTATGAGCCGTTATAGGGGTGGTCAGATGTATATTCATATTATTTATTATTTAATTATTAACATTATTATTTTAAAAAACATCATAGCAAACTATTTCTCTGTATTAAAGTGCTGACCTCCTATACATCTTGTTTTGACGTTCCTCAGAGGGGATCGTGTTAGTTAAGGGGGTCAAACCCCCCCTTTAATTTGCACCCTGCTTCACTGTGAATTAATTCTTTCAATAATTTTCCTTTGGCTTAGTCACTTATTCACCAGGGGTCACCACAATGGAAGGAATCACTAACTATTCCAGCCTATGTTTTACGCAGCGGATGCCCTTTCAGCTGCAACCCAGTACTGGGAAACACCCACTGATTTACGCACTCCATATTGACTCCACAATTTAATTAATACAATTCACCCAAACCACATGTGTTTGTACTGTGGGGGGAAACCGGAGCACCGGGAGGAAACCCACGTCAACATGGGGAGAACATGCAAACTCCCCACAGAAATGGCAACTGGTCCAGTCGGGACTTGAATCAGCTGCCGTTTTGCTGTGAGGCGATAGTGCTAACCACTGAGCCACCCTGCTGCCCCCTTTACTGTGAATATGTTGAGAATAATTAAGATAAAAATTGGCCTAAATCTGCCCATCAAATGACTGAAACTCTCAAAAAGATGTTGTGAAATTAATTAGACTCATTTGGTCTCTGTAGAGGGATTCGGGGGCTTGGAAATACTCAATTACACATAATAACAAGATTTGCAACCGTCTGCCACCATAGTATGAATATTTATACAGATTTTACTTAACTTATATAATAAAACAAGATGAAGATGTTAACTAACGCAAGAGTAAAAAGTTACCTCACATTAAAACCCTGCAATGTTGACTTGGTGTAAATAAAAATATAAAACAGGATATTCTGGCGTGGAGGTTGGCGTTTCTGGGTGGAGTTTGCATGTTCTCCCTGCCTTCGCGTGGGTTTCCTCCGAGTGCTCCGGTTTCCCCCACAGTCAAAAGACATGCGGTACAGGTGAATTGGGTAGGCTAAATTGTCCGTAGTGTATGACCCTGCTAAAAAATCCAGCTTAAACCAGCCTAGGCTGGTTGGCTGGTTTTAGCTGGTCGACCAGGCTGGTTTTAGAGGGGTTTTGGCCACTTCCAGGCTGATTTCCAGCCATTACCAGCCTGGTCTTAGCTGGTCAGGCTGGAAAATGACCAGCTAAATCCAGCTAAAACCAGCTTGTCCAGCCTGGTTTAAGCTGGAAATAGCTGGTTTTGGCTGGGCTCCCAGCCTGCTAGGCTGGTCAAGCTGGTTTTAGCTGGTCATCTCCCAGCCTAACCAGCTAAGACCAGGCTGGAAATGGCTGAAAACCAGCCTGGAAGTGGCCAAAACCCCTCTAAAACCCGCCTAGTTGACCAGTTAAAACCAGCCTAGGCTGGTTTAAGCTGGATTTTTCAGCAGGGGAGTGTGTGTGTGGATGTTTCCCAGAGATGGGTTGCAACTGGAAGGGCATGCGCTGTGTAAAAACTTGCTGGATAAGTTGGCGGTTCAATCCGCTTCGGCAACCCCGGATTAATAAAGGGACTAAGCTGACAAGAAAATGAATGAATGATTCTGACTTAAGGGTATTCAATTTATTCTGCTATGAAAATCTACAAACCAGAGGTTTTAAAAAGTAGTAGCATCTTGGAAATCATTTGTGTGAATTATCATTTAAAATAGCAGACGTGTCTGGAATTGTCGAATCTGGCATCTACATTATCTGTAGCTAACAAGTTAGCATTTTAGCATTTCTGGTTACCTCACTCATCCTGAGTTCAACAGTTTTTCTGAAGAGCTTTTTGACTAAGATGCCTGAAATAAGGCCTGTGGTAAATAAGATCTTTTAACTTGTCGTTTTACAGCATATGTGTTTTCAAACATGAAACGTCATGTCAAACAAGAAACTTAAGTTGCTCACCACATTTTGGCTTTATTATTATTCACTTGTGAAGATTATCCTTATGAACACAATGTGTAAGAATCATATTGTAGCCTGTGCTTAGCATAGAAGAAAACTCAAGCTATTACGATCAATGAAAATGCAGTAGCTGGCTACTTATTAAGAGTGTGGCACTGCTTTGATGAAAATATATTGTGGGTGAGGTTAAAGAAATAGTTCACCCAAAAATTATAATTTACCAACCATTTAGGATAGGATAAGATTGGATAGGATACACTTTATTTGTCCCCGAGAGGAAATTTGCCTTGGGCAAAAAGGTGCTACAACATTGCAGACAGTAAAAAAACAAAAAACAATTAAGAACAAACAATTAAGAACATACATTGTTTACAAGATAAGACCGTATATAAATATGAAATATATAAAACACAGAACCCAGTCAAGGTGCTAAAATACTACACATGCAGTGTTATTGGTAGAGTTCAATCGAGGTAGGAACAAACGAAAGCTTCAGTCTATTAGACATTGGCATTCTCTGCCCTTTTCCTGATGGTAACATCTGATATTCACTAAAAAGAGGATGTTTGGAATCAGCAGTAATATTTATGGCTCTTCTCATAACCGCCTGTTCATCTAGAGTCTGTATGGGCTTGTATTGCTTTGTTCCTATTATTTTCAAGGCTGTTTTTTGAATATGAACCAGTTTATTTTTCAATTGAACAGACAGGGTTCCAAATCATTCCATAGCGAATAAGACTCTCAAACATAGGTCTGTAAAAAACATGCAAGATATTGCTACCCACCCCATAAAATCTCAGCCTTCTTAAAAAAATATAGCCTCTGTTGTAGCATAAGCTGTCAATGTGTATTAACACTGTCCATAGACTGTCCATATAGAACCCCAGGTATTTGTAGGATGTAACTTGTTGTATCACTGTGTCTTTAATGATCACAGGCCTGTGTTCAGAAACACTTCTTGGGTCAAGGAGCATTTCTTGTGTCTTTTTTACATTTAACACAAGACAGTTCTTATCGCACCACTGAATGAAATGATCAACTTCACCGGTAGGATGATAGGTCAATGTCTTTGTGTAAAAGACTTAAAATGGCATTGTCATCAGCATAATATAATTATTAGAATGTACTTACTCTCAAATGTTTCTAAACCTTTAAGAGTTTTTCGCTGAACACAAAAGAAGATATTTTGAAAAATGCTAGAAACCTGTAACCACAACATAAAACATTCATTATTTTTTCCGGTTTAGTCCCTTTGTTAATCTGGGGTCACCAAAGTGGAATGAACTGCCAACTTATCCAGCAAATGTTGTATACAGCGGATGATCTTCCAGCTGCAACCCATCACTGGGAAACATCCATACACACTCATTCACACAGATACACTGTGAGCAATTTAGCTAATTTACCTACAGGCACATCCCTGCTGAAAAATCCAGCTTAAACCAGCCTAGGCTGGTTCGCTGGTTTTAGCTAGTCGACCAGCCTGGTTTTAGAGGGGTTTTGGCCACTTCCAGGCTGGTTTCCAGCCATTTCCAGCCTGGTCTTAGCTGGTCAGGCTGGGGGATAACCAGCTAAAACCAGCTTGATCAGCCTAGCCAAGGGAGTCCAGCCAAAACCAGCTATATCCAGCTTCAACCAGGCTGGTTGAGCTGGTTTTAGCTGGATTTGGCTGGTCATTTTCCAGCCTGACCAGCTAGGACCAGGCTGGAAATGGATGGAAACCAGCCTGGAAATGGCCAAAACCTCTCTAAAACCAGGCTGGTCGACCAGCTAAAACCAGCCAACCAGCCTAGGCTGGTTTAAGCTGGATTTTTCAGCAGGGATGTCTTTGGACTTGTGGGGGAAACCAGAGCAACCGGAGGACATCACCAGAGCCTCGAACCAGCGACCTTCATACTGTGAGGCGACAGCGATACCCACTGCGACATAACATAAACATAAAAACAAATACATATTGAAGTAAATGGTCACAGGTTTACAGTCCTTCTCAAAATATATTAGTTTGTGTTCAACACAGAATTGAAACTCAGACAGGTTTGTGAGTAGTGAAGGTTGAGTAAAATAAGACAGAATTTTCAGTTTTGGGTGAACTATCCCTTTAAGACAGTACGCAAACACTTCAAAATGACCGTCTAACAACACAAAATGAACTTTCAACAACACAACAAGAATAGTATGACAACCCAGATGTGGACGATTGTTTGTGCAAAACTGGGCCTGTATGAACACATTGTGTGTTTTACTTAAGCATTTTTAAGACAAGTGCACACTTGCACTTGAAATGGGCTATATGTAATATTTCATTCGCTAAGAAAGTTATAATTCAGGTAAACTTTTGCCTCAAAATATAAATGTGAATCATTATAATTAACGAATGTTAGTTGAAATCTCAGAAGAAAAACAGCAAAACTGCCAGGCAGCAAAGCGCGTCTCCGACATTCCAACACGAAGTGCGCGTCCACATCGCCCTGCCCTCTGCGCGTCCCCGATTCAGTAGGGCTCGAGCCGTTAACGGAGCGGTGGTGGATCACGGACGTGTGATCACACATTTCTCCCGATCAAAACACCCACCAGAGCCCGCGTCCAGTTTAACGACAGTTCCGCGATATCTGGATTACGATGGCGCACACGGGCGCGTAAGGAGAGCGTTGTCGTTCGCTGAAGGTAAGAGCAGAAAGTTCGTTCGGAGTTTCACAGAAAGATCCACGCGGCGACACGCATCTGCGCCTGCGAGTGGCGCATATTTGTCCGCGAGACGCCACAGACGCGTGACGGGGACGGCCAGCTGGGATTTCAAAGCCAGTTTATAGTCAGTTTAACGAGTTGAACATTTCAGAAATGACGCGACACGTTTGTTTTGTGGTGTTTAAACGGTTAAACGGAATCAGGACGCGTTTGGAGCGTCACCGCGCGTTATATGTCTGATTGTGGTGCGCAAGAGCTCCAGGAGTAATTATTGTGTGGAGAGGATAAAGTGTCATTTCTGCTAAATCATTTGTGTGAGGAGATAAAGTGTCGTTTTGCCTGGAAAGTTCATGAGGGGAAAACCTGAGCAGATCTCACGCCGGTTCTGGAGAATTCCTCTGTGTTTCTGTCAGGATGCTGTTGTGTTGTGTGTGAGTGTGATAGAGAGAGAGAGAGATCAGTTTGTATTTCAGCTTTCACTTTAGTAACGTTAACTGTAAAGACAACTGTCTAATTTACTTTATATACGTTTTATATACCGTTGAAGTCAGAATTGTTAGCCTTCCCGTATATATTTATATTTTCCCCAGTTTCTGTTTAAACATAATAGTCTTAATAACTAATTTCTAATAACTGATTTCTTTTATCTTTGCCATGATGACAGGATATTTGACTAGATATTTTTCAGGATACTAGACTAGTATTCAGCTTAAAGTGAAATTTAAAGGCTTAACTAGGTTAATTAGGCAAGTCATATAATGATGCTTTGTTCTGTAGACAATGGGGAAAAATGCTAACATTATTGACCTTGAAATGCTTTTAAAAATTAAAAACTGCTTTTTTTCTCGCAGAAATAAAACAAATAAGACTTTCTTCAGGAGAAAAAATATCAGAAATTCTGTGAATGAAAAATTCCTTGCTCTGGGAAACATAATTTGGAAAATAATCGAAAAAGAAAATAAGCACATGAGGGTGAAGAATTTTGACTTCGACTGTATATTCACATTCACTCACAAATGCTTTATTAATCTGAAGTTTACAAATAATCCCTCGGTTTGTGGTTTTTAATAGTCATCACAATCCTGCTTTTTCACTGCTTCGGAGTCTGACAGAAGATAAACAGGAATTTCAGTTGTCGTATCCAGAGGTCACAGGCAGTGAAAAGACGCCTTGAGAGGCTTGAATCACAGGCAATTAGCTCTTAACTAGGGCTGGGTGATTTGGCCTAATATCAAAATCTTGAATAGTTAAACTTTATAACTCAATTACGATTAAGGAATAATAATGCTATTTATTTAATTTATTTTGCCCTCATATTTCACTGACAGGTTTTGTACTGTAGATATGCTCAAATACAGGTGAGAGATTTTTGAATGAAGGGTGCATTGCTTGGTTTTAAAATAACAGAAGCCGACATTCTTGCTGTGAGGCGACATTGCTAACCCCTGAGCCACCACACTGCCTCTATCTACTATTTATGATTATTTATTGAACGACTGAAATTAAAACACGCATTGCCTAAAGCAAACAGTCACTTTTTCTTATAAGCAGTATCTCCTCTAAATAAAAAAAAACTGTTGTATGTCCTGTAAATAATATTTTAAACAGTGCATTTCTTGCATTTTCTGTAAACAAATATTTGGATGTAAATAATAATTTGAATGTAATGGAAATTATGCCATCTCAAGGCATCTCCGGAGCAGCTTCCAATTATCGTTAATGTAGCGCAAAGTAATAACAAAGGCTGGGGTCATGTGACTCCACGCGTAGTATGAAAAGTAATTGAAAAAAATCATCCTGAAAAAATGTTTTGTTTACAACTGCAAAAAACCTAAAACCACATTTTTTTGCGCGTTATTGGGGTTAATTTTTTTATATGTATTGTAATGACCTGGGGTTCTTTTTCGAAAACCATCGTTAGCCAACTAAGGTCGCAAGTTCCATTGTTACAAACATAGTTTGTTGATTTGGCGTTTCTCAAATTCGTCGTTCCAACGTAGATTCGCAAACTGCATTGCAAACTTGTACGCTTGCAACTACCGGTACACCTCTGGAGCTGTAGTTGTAAACATAGTTCCTGGCTGTGTGTTGTATAGTTATCCCTCCTATGCCCTATTCATTTAGAACAGTGGTTCTCAAACTGTGGTACGCGTACCACTAGTGGTACGCGGGCTTCCTCCTAGTGGTACGCGGAGGAATCGCTGAATAATGAAAGAAACAATTAACACTTTTAATCCTTTAATGCGTAATATAACATTGATGTGATCAGCATTGGCTGTTTTGTGAAGCGTACGATCACAACGCTGTGCTTAGAGTGTTTATTTTAGTGCATTGTGTCATAAGCTGCTGAAAATCAGTTTCCGAAGTTTAAGAATTGATTCTGAAGCGTGATTTGACTGACATGAAAAGTGGCCAATCACAGTCGACCTTGTCTAGTTGCGTGAAACGTAAGGGCGGGACAAAGGCTTTCTGTGTTGCAGAGACAGAAAAAACAACTTAAAAACAAATGTTTTGTTGCAATAATGCTTCTCGGATGTTTTCACTACAGAGATGTCTAGCAGAGTAATTAAACCGCGGACTTATTTCCTGCCTATTTGATGATCTACAAACACGTTTCGCTCTCCGACAGCCAGTCGACTCGCCTCTGACCTGTCACTCCTCTATACAGTCTGAATGGCGGCGCGGGAATGGAGGTATTGCGCAATTACTCATTTCTGCAAATGTGGCGAGTGCTTTATTTTAACACGAGAGCGCATTCATGTACGCAAATCGCTAAAACAGATATGCGAGCTCTTAAATATGCTTTTTTCAAATGAACTGCAAGTCCTCTCATGATCGCGTGTGTGCTCAGATTGAATACAATCGCGATCTTTCCACTATTAAAGTAGACATTATTTATCTTTGTCCTTGACTAAATTTAGTCAAAAGTATTCAAAGTTATCAAATATTTAGAATTAGATTGATTCATGATCGATGACAATGCTAATGGTCTTCTTATTTGGCTGTGTTGTGAAGTGAAACTTACTTTTAGCAAAGGTGGAACATTTTTATTTCTTTACCACAAAATAATTATGCTGGAAATGTGTCTGGATGAGGTATTTGTGTGATTTATACATTTAGCTGTATTCTGATCTGTCCTAAAGCATTACAGGTAAAAGCAATCCATTGTTACTTATTGTTTATTTATCACAATTTACAATAAGGCTCTTAAAGCACTGCTTTGATAAATGTATTGTTGTCATATTTCAAATACCTCAAGTAAAATGAAGTCATTTGTTTTATTTTTTTACTGACAGTGTACTTGTATTTTTTACATTTCTATTTTAGATTAAGATCAAGTGTAAAATAAAATCTACATGTGATGTACAGCTATTTAAGAAACAAATTTGCCATATTGTAAAGAAAATTGTGTAAAATATGTAAATAAAAGGCTAAATTGAAATCTTTTTACCATTTACTTTAATTTAACCTTTCAAAGCTTAAAAATATATATATTTTAAAAATGGGCAAAAAGTGTCTCTATGGCCTTAAAGATTATTTGGTAGTTTTACCAGTGCTATTGAAAAAGATTAATTGTCATGAAAGGAAAAATTGACTATACTTCCTTTGTTAGTGCAAATTATACATGTAGCTTTGGGATGTAAGCAATCAAACTATTTAATCAGGTTTACACTTAAAAAAAAAAGTGATTTCATAATGAAAATCAGATTTTTTTTCAAAAGTAACCAACTAGTACTTTTTAAAAGAGTAATTTGTACTTTTACCTAATATTAGTATTATTTACTAAAATCTTTGTTATTTTAGCAGTGTAATAGTATTTTTACTTGAGTACAAAAAAGATTTCACAAGCACTTAGTGCAGGTTTATTATATTATTAATATATGATTAATAAATATTATTATTAATGGTTTTTATTTGTATCTATTCCTATGCAATGTTTTATGGGTTGCTGAGAATACATTTCAGGTCTTCAATACATCGCATGTCAGTCTTGAAAAAAAAAATAGGTGCTGGAATCGATTTTCATTAGGCTGTGCCTGTGTGAACCCTGTCATATGTACATTTAACATTTATTTCAAGATTTGTCTGAAAGTGTATGAATATGACATATAGCCTATATTTATAAGGTCCAAGCAGCATTTCCAGCTTTTGATGAATAGGCTACTATAAATACTTTAGATTTAAGTGCAGCAGTTTTCTTTTTACTTTTTAAGAACAGCGCCATTTTTTATGACCTTTTAAAAGCACATTTTAACTAAAACTTTTTTTTTTTTTAATCTGCAAGCACAGTTAATGTTCAGACTATTTCAAATGTTTAAAGTGACTGACAATAATACATATTCTTAATAATAGGAAGTAATCTGCATCATTTTAAAACTTTGCACACCTGTAGCTGCTTAATTATGCTTACAACGCTATTTTTTAATACTGGTTAAAAAATAGCGTCGTAAGGTGGTACTTGGAGAGACGATTTTTTTCTAAGGTGGTACTTGGTGAAAAAAGTTTGAGAACCACTGATTTAGAACATTCCAACATTTAAACCACAGTGCAAGTTACCAAAGTTTTGTTGTTGTTACCATGTTCAATTTTTGTGAGATGCTGCAAGCGCTTGGAAAGGAGTCTTTTTTGGAATTGTTGATCCAGAAGCTTTAAGTGAAGTTTCATGTTTGGTGAATGGTTCTCGTAGGGTTGTGATTTGGTTAGGGAAGGATTTGAGCTCTAGAAAACAGGTGTGATGAGCACTCTGGGGAGGAGGGGCTGATGTGTGTGTGTGTATAAATGAATATGTTCACAGAGTGAGGACACTGAATCAGATCAGGACCTGATTGAGAACAGACTGCCGAGCAAAAATCAGATTTGATCAAAGAGACAGCAAATTTGTTCGTGGCAGATCTGTCTAATTTATTGACCAATAGCCAAGTCTTTTACGGTAATGCTTTTTCTTTTTTTTTCTTTTTTTCTTTTTTCTTTTTACTTAG